AGTATAAAAATCTGCAGGGCACTAACTATCAGCCAGTACAGGGTAGGCGTTACCTTTGGGCAGGGAGGGAGGGGATTGGAATTTGGGAAGACACAGGCTCTGTGCTCTTAGCAATAACAGCAACTCTAGATACATACCTATATTTATATATCTATAGCTATATCTGTATCTATATATAAGCATATAAAGAATACGAAAAAAATGCTAAATTTTGATATAGCTGAGTGTCATGAATTGAACTGTGTCCCCCCCAAAATAATGTGTGTCAACTTGGCTAGTCCACGATTCCCAATATTGTGTGATTGTCCACCATTTTGTCATCTGATGTGATTTTCCTATGTGTCGTAAATCCCATCTCTATGATGTTAATGAGGTGGGATTAGCAGCAGTTATGTTAATGAGGCACAACTCAATCTACAAGATTAGATTATGTCTTAAGTCAATCTCTTTCAAGATATAAAAAAGAGAAGCGAGCAGAGAGAGAGGGGGATCTCATACCACCAAGAAAGAAGCACTGGGAGCATAGCGTGTCCTTTGAACCCGGGGTCCCTGTGCTGAGAAGTGTCTTGACCAGGGGAAGATTGATGACAAGGACCTTTCTTCAGAGCCAACAGAGGGAGAAAGCCTTCCCCTGGAGCTGGCACCCTGAATTCAGACTTATATCCTCCTAGACTGTGACAGAATAAATTTCTTTTTGTTAAAGTTATCCACTTGTGGTATTTATGTTATAGCAGCACTAGATAACTAAGACAGTACCAAGAGTGGGGTGCTGCTCTGATAGATACCTAAAATGTGGAAAAGTTTTAAAACTGAATGGGCAGAGGCTGGAAGAATTTTATTTTTGATATGCCCAAATAGGCTGCTCGTGTGAACTAGTTTGATTATTGGCACCTTTGAAGCTCTAATGTCCTGTGAGCCCAGGAGTCTGTTTACTTTTCTTGTATGGATTCAGCTCAGGTATCCAGGTAGTTGGTCACCAAGTGTATGGTGCAGGCTCTCACCTACAGTCCTAGATGGGCAGGGGTGATTGGTATAGGCACAGGTATCTGGCTGCAGTATGGGGTCACATGCTGAGCAAGGCAGGGGGCCGACAGCTGCCCCTGAGTGTCTGGGAGGAAAGCGTGTCCCTGTTCCCTAGAGCACATAGGTGGGTGGGTTTTGCAGCCCGACTATGAGCACCCGATGCTGTTGGCTGTAAGGACTGAGAGGCACCACTTATTCTTGGACCCCTGTTGTGGGTGTCTAGGTGGCATCAGTGCAGTCACCAGTCCTCAGGCCCCTGATGTGGGTAGGTGAGGACCCTGCTTAATGAGCAGAGCAGTGTCAAATGTCATGAACCTGCGACTTCACCACATAGCTAATACAGTTGAAGTTAGGCTTCACGTATATACCCTGTTGTACTGTGGTAATGAGGGCCTACACTGTTGAAATGGGCCCACACAGGTCTATGCAGGGGTGAAAGGCATTCAAAGTCCATGGACTCGTTATGCCTATGCCTAGGCAAAGGAGATGTGCCTACACTGAGTTCCCGGCTTAGGGGAGCCAGCAGATTATTTTTTCCTGTTTGTTAATTTGTTCCCTCTCCAAGGCCGAGAGAATGGCTCAAGGCACATGATGGGTCCTACTTTTGGCCCAGGGGACTCAGCAATCACTGAAGCTGGCCCAGGACTCATTGCAGAGCAGGGAGGGGGCAGGTAAATGGGAGAGAGGTTTCTCCCAAAGGGGGTGTTTACAGATCTGTGCAGTAGATCATACACACGTACTTATCTTTTGCCGACTGAGCACCACTTTTCACTGGTTCTGGAGGCCCAAGTAGACTCTCTGCTGCTCGGTCTCTCATGATGTGGAAAATGCTTCCCGAGTGCCACTGCTTGCCTCACCGCACACACCAGCCCATCTGGCCTGAAGGGTGCTGGCTCCCACTGGGTCAGGTCTGGCAACCCCTTGCTGCTTCTGAACCATGTCTTCCTCCCCGTGCCACTCAGTCCTATTCCTCTACTTTGCCTTTGATGTTCAGGGCTCTGGAAAAATTTTAAAGTACCTAATAGTAAAAGTCTAGATTGCCTTGAAGAGACTGTTGGTGAAATTATGGATGTCAAAGACAATTCTGGTGAGGACTCAGAAGGAAGTGAGGAGAGCTGTTACAGCACAGACGGCGAGAAGCAGCAGCAGAGAACCAGAAGACCAGCGAGACAGTGCTGGAGCCAACTCATGGAGCAAGAGAGCTGAGTGCCTTTGTGCAGTGGCTTCCTGGTGGAGTGGGGTGCCTCCAGGCACTTATTGTTGGAGCTACAGAGCTTTGGAACACTTGCCCCAGCAGGGCAGACATGGGCAGTGAGGCCCACGGGGTGGAGAAGTCAAGGAACCAGGAAGCAGAAGCTGAAGAGACAAGGAACACAGGAAGCAGAGCTGCCTCAGTCTCAAAGGGTGGAGTTGCCTCTCAGATGGACTAGGAGAATGGTTTGCCCAAAGCTGAGGGAGCAGAGTTGCCATTCCAGTGGGCCTGGAAGGTGGAGCTGAAGCCTAGGGCTGAGCGACCTCCACTCAGAATCCAGAGAGTGTGGCCAATACCTAGAGCCTGGAGGGCAGGGCCATTGTGTAAATGGTCTCAAAGAACGGAGTATTTTCAAGCCTTGAGGGCTAATGCAATGTGTTCTGCTGACTTGCTTGGTGCCTGTTATCCCTTCTTTCTCTCCAGTTTCTCCCATTTGTGATGGAAATGTCTAGCTTGTGCCTGTTGCACCATTGTACTTTGGAAGCAGATAACTTGTATTCCAGATTTCACAGATAAAGAGGAATTTCTGAATTTTGGATTTAGAGTTGATTTAAGACTTTTGCCATAATATGATATGATGGGGTGAATGTGTTTTACACGTGGCAAGGACATGGATTTTGGGGGGCCAAAGGATGGAATGTCATGGATTGAATTGTGTCCCCCAAAAATAATGTGTCAACTTGGCTAGTCCATGATTCCCAGTATTGTGTGATTGTCCACCATTTTGTCATTTGATATGATTTTCCTACGTGTCATAAATCCTATCTCTATGATGTTAATGAGGTGTGAATGGCGGCAATTATGTTAATGAGACATGACTCAATCTCTTTTTGAGATATAAAAAAAATGAGCAGAGAAATAGCAGGATCTCATACCACCGAGAAAGAAACTCTGGGAGCAGAGCGTATCCTTTGGACCTGGGTCCCTGCACTGAGAAGCTCCTCCACTGGGGAAGATAGATGACAAGGATCCTTCCTCCAGAGCTGACAGAGAGAAAGCCTTCCTCTCGAGCTGGCACCCTGAATCCCGACTTCTAGCCTCCTGGACTGTGAGAGAATAAGTTCTCTTTGTTAAAGCCATCCACCTGTGGTATTTCTGTTATAGTAGCACTAGATAACCAAGACAATGAGTGATCGTTCTTTTGGTATAAAAATGGTGTGGGGGGCAGCATCTGACCTCCTCTAATTTCACAAGAAAGGAGAATCAACCTCAACAGCCCAAGGCTGATTTCTATGAGGTGGAGGTCAGACATGCCTCTTCTCTCTGCCATTTATACCAATTCTCACACCAGCCATCCTTCTCATGGCACTCTCTACTTCTCTGCTGGGTTTGATAATTCATTGCAGTGGCCACACAGAACTCACAAATAATACGATTATGGGGTTTATTAGGGAAGTAACATGTTACAGTACAGGTTCAGGAATGCTCAAGATACAGTTCTTCCATCAGGACAGACTTATCAAGGTCTTTGGAAAATCCTATTGACATTTTGACTGGGCTTATATCGATTTTATAAAGCGACTTGGGAAGAGTTTTCGATTTTATAGCTTTGTTCTGATCTGGGAAGGGGCGTTTTTCTGATTTAATTTAATCTTCTGTATATCCTCTAGTGAAGCTCTAGAGATTTAAAGAAATGTAGTCTTGCACATTTCTGTTTGGGTTCATTCCCAGGAACTCTGTGGGTTTTGTGGCCACCGTGAAAGGAATGCGCAGATATTTGCGGGCGGGCGTCAAGCAGGGTCCACCCTGGGCAGGTGACCACCACGATAATCGCCAGGGGCCTGCGAGTCCTAGGGGAAATGACGACTAGCTGACTGGGTGGTGCATTGCGAGCGTCCAGGCACCTCCAGGAGGCTTAGGAGCTGGGTCAGCGGGCTGGCGGCCTTGGGTCGGTGTCTTCACCCTGGAACTCTGAGGCCTTTCTTGGAGGGCATCTCCCTTCGTGCCCGCCCACGCGCCCGGCCCCGCCCACCTCGCCTCTCGACCCGATAAGGCCACGCCCACCACTCGCCATCTTAATCAGGTCCTGCCCGTCACTCCAAGGCCCCGCCTTCGACGCCCCGCCCCGCCCCCAGGCCCCATCCATCAAGCCACGCCCCCTTCCAGTCTACGCCCACCATGCCCTGCTGGTCCAAGTCAGGCCCCGCCCCCGCAGGTCCGGCCTGCCACTCCAAGGCCCCGCCCACCAGTACCTATTACCTCCCACTCAGATTACCAGTTACTTTAAGGCCTCGCCCACTTCTCCCGTTCCCAGTCCCACTCTAAGGCCCCGCCCACTACTACCAATCAAGCCCCCTTCCCCAGACCCCGCCCGTCACCCTAAGGCCCCGCCCACCACTCTCCACCCTGTCCCAATCAAGTCCCGCCCCAGCAGGCCCCGCCTCGCCGGCCTCCTCACTCCTCCCTCAGACGCTAGCGCACCGCCCGCTGGTTCTACTGGTTTGTGGGTACCGAGGCCCGGCGGCTGCAGTCGGGCTCGAAGGTCACGGGTTCGAGTCTTTGTGTCCCCCGCCTCTGCCCACGGCTCTTATCCCTTTGCGGGAGCTGCCGTGTCGGCCCCGGCGCCCGCGGCGAATCTGCCGCTGCGAATCGGCGGGCGC